TTTTTAGATTCTGCACGTAGTTGTAAGTGCCTCTCTTCAGATGATCATATGATTTTTATCCATCATTTTGTGAATGTGGTATATAGCATTTATTGAGTTGCATATGTTGAACCATCCTTGCGTCCCAGGCTCGGTTGATCATGATCCTTTTAATGTGTTGTTGAATTTAGTCTGGTTAAGATTTTCTTCAGGATTTTTGGATCTAGGTTCATCAGGAACATTGATCTATAATTTTACTTTTGTTTTCTTGTGATGTTCTTGTTTGGCTCTGCTATCAAAGTAATGCTGACCTCATTAAATGCGATTGGAAGTGTTTCCTCCTTTTCAATTATTTGAAAGAGTTTGAGAAGGATTTGTGTTAATTCTTCTTTAAATGTTTATAGACTTCACCAATGAAGACATCAGGTACTGAGATTTTCCTAGTTAAGAGTTTTTATTTCTGATTCAATCTCCTTACTCATTATTGTCCTGTTCAGATTTTCTATTTCTTCCTGATTCAGTCTTGGTAGGCTGTATGTTCCTAGGACTTTATCTATTTCTTCTATGTTATTTAATTTGTTGATGTACTGTTTTTCATAGTAGTCTCATGATTTTCTGTATTTCTGTGGTATCCATTGTAATGTTTCCTCCTTCAATTATAATTTTATTTGAGTGTTTTTCTTTTTCTCCTAATTAGGCTAAAGATTTCTTGATGTATCTTTTTGAAAACAACAACAGTGTCACTGATCTTTTCTGTTGTTTTTCTGGTCTCTATTTCATGTATCTCTGCTCTGATCTTTATTATTTTTTTTTTTTTTTTTTTTTTTTTTTTTTTTGCTTTCTTATTGCTTCAGGTGTAAAGTTAGGATATTTCAGATCTTTCTGTTTTCTTAAGGTAGGTATTTATCACTATAAACTTCCTCCTTAGAACTGTTTTTGTTGCATCCCATAAATTCAATGCCACAAGTTTTGTTTCTCTTTTCATTTTTCTCAAGATATTTTTTGATTTTTTCTTTGACTCATTGGTTGTTCAGGAGTATGTTCATTTTCATGTATTTGTGAATTTTCCATTTTTCCTTCTGTTATTGAGTTCTACTTTTATGCCATTATGGTTGGAAAAGATACTTGATATGATTTCAATCTTCTTAAATTTGTTAAGATGTTTTTCATGGCCTAACATACGACCTATCCTGGAAAATGTTCTGTGTGTACTTAAAAAGAATGTACATGCTGCTTTTGGAAGGAATGTTCTACACATGTCTGTTAGGGCTATTGGTTTATAGTTTTTGAAGTCCACAGTTTCCTTGTTGATTTTCTGTCTTGGTGATCTAATTCATTGTTGAAAGCATGTTGCTGTTTATTTCTCCTTTAGTTATGTTAATATTTGCTTTATAGATTTAGATGCACTGATGTTGGGTACAGATGTACTTACAATTGTTTTATCCTCTTAATGAATTGACCCTTTTACCATTATATAATGACCTTCTCTGTCTCTTGTGACAGTATTTGACTTAAACTCTATCTTGTCTGTTGTAAGGATAGCCAACTCTGCTTTCTTTTGGTTATCATTTTAATGCAATCCTTTTTTCATCCCTTCGCTTTCAGCTTATGTCTGTCCTTAAAGCCAAAGTTAATCTCTTACAGCCAAAGTTAAGACCTTACATATAGTTAGGTCTTGTTTTTTATTCACTCATCCACTCTGTCTTTTGATTGGATAATTTAATACATTTACTTCTAAAGCAATTATTGGTAGGTAAAGGCTTACTACTGTCATGTTGTTAATTGTTTTCTGATTGTTTTATAGCTCCTTTGTTGCTTCTTTTTGTCTCACTGTCTTCCTTTGTGACTTAATGACTTTTTTGGAGCAATTTGCTTTGATTCCTTTCTCTTTATGTTTTGTGTATCTACTACAAACTTTTTCTTTCTGGTTATCATGAGGTTTACAAAAATATTTCATATTTATAACCATCTATTTTAATCTAGTAACAACTTAGACTGCATTTAGAAATACTGCATTTTAACTTCTCACCCCACATTTTATTATTCGTACCATAGTTTATATATTTTGTATGTTGTGTATTCATTAACAAATTGTTGTAGTTATGGTTATTTTTTAATACTTTTCTTTTTTTAACTTTTATACTAGAGTTAAAAGTGACTGTGGCACAATAACAGTATTGGAGAATTCTGTATTTGATTGTATAAGAATACCTTTAATGGAGTTTTATTCTTTCATATGTTTTCATGTTAGTTAGTGTCCTTTTATTTAAACTTGACAATTCCCTTTTGCATTTTTTGTAAGGCAAGTTTAATGGTGTTGAAATCCCACAGCTTTTATTTGTCTAGTGATATGATTTGGCGCTGAGCTCCCACCCAAATCTCATTTCGAAATGCAGTCCCCAGGTGTCAAAGGAGGGACCTGTTGGGAGATGATTGGATCATGAGGTGTTTTCCCCAATTATGTTCTCATGATAGTGAGAGTGTTCTCATGAGATCTGATGGTTTAAAAGTGGCCGTTACGCCGTGCACATGCTCTCTCTCTCTCCTGCTGCCTTGTGAAGAAGGTATCTGCTTCCCCTTCACCTTTCACCATAATTGTAAGTTTCCTGAGGCCTCCTCAGCCTTGAGGAACTGTTAGTCAATTAGACCTTTTATCTTTTAGCAGTGTGAAGATAAATAATACAGAGAATTGTTACTGACAGAGTGAGGTGTTGCTATAAAGATAACCTGAAAATGCGAAGGCAACTTTGAAACTGGATAACAGGCAGAGGTTGGAACAGTTTGGGGGGCTCAGAAGAAGATAGGAAGATGTGAGAAAGTTTGAAACTTCCTAGAGACTTGTTGAACGCTTTTGACCAAAATGCTGATAATCATATTGACAATGAAGTCCAGGCTGAGGTGGTCTCAGATGGAGATGAGGAACTATTGGGAACTGGAGCAAAGGTCATTCTTGCTATGCTTTAGCAGAGACTGGCAGCATTTTGCCCTGCCCTACAGATCTGTGGAACTTTGAACTTGAGAGAGATGATTTAGGGTATCTGTCAGAAGAAATTTCTAAGCAGAAAAGCATTCAAGATATAACTTGGCTTTTTCTGAAAGCATACAGTCATATGCATTCACAAAGAGATAGTATTAAATTGGAAATTATGTTTAAAAGGGAAACAAAGCATAAAAGTTTGGAAAATTTGTAGCCTGACCATGTGGTAGAAAAGAAAAACCAATTTTCTGGGGAGAAATTCAAACTGGCTGCAGAAATTTACATAAGTAACCAGGAACTGAATGTTAACTGCCAAACAATGGGGAAAATGTCACCAGGGCATTTCAGAGGTCTTCAATGCAGCCCCTCCCATTACAAGCCCAGAGGCCTAGGAGGGAAAAATGGTTTCATGGGCCCTACTGCTGTGTGCAGCCTTGGGACTTGGTGGCCTGTGCCTCAGCCACTCCAGCTATGGCTAAAATTTCCATCTCCAGCTATGGCTAAAAGGTTCCATAGCTCAGGCTGTTGCTTCAAGGGTGCAAGCCTTGGTGGCTTCCATGTGCTCTTGGGCCTGCAAGTGCACAGAAAACAAGAGTTGAACTTTGGGAGCCTCCGCCTAGATTTCACAGGCTGCGTGGAAACACCTGGCTGTCCAGGCAGAAGTCTGCTACAGGGACACAGCCCTCATGGAGAACCTCTATTAGGGCCATGCAGAGGTGAAATGTGGGGTTGGAGCCCACACACAGAGTCCCCACTGGGGCACTGCCCAGCGGGCTGTGAAAAGAGTTCCTCCATCTTCCAGACCCCAGAATGGTAGATCTACTGACCACTTTCACCATGTGCCTGGAGAAGTTGCAGGCATTCAGTGCCAGCCGACGAAGGCAGCCGTCGGAGCTGTACCCTGCAGAGCCACAGGGACAGAGCTGCCCAAGGCCTTAACAGCCCACCTCTTGCATTAGCATGCCCTGGATGTGAGACAGGGGCTTAAAGGAGGTTATTTTGGAGCTTTAAAATTTAATGATTTCCCTGCTAGGTTTTGCACATGCATGGGGCCTGTGGCCCCTTTATTTTGGCCAATTTCTCCCATTTGGAATGGGAACATTTACCCAATTCCTGTACCCCTGTTGTATTTTGGAAGTAACTAAGTTGTTTTTTATTTTAAAGGCTCATTGTCTCAGATGAGACTTTGGACTTGGACTTTTGGGTTACTGTGGAATGAGTTAAGACTTTGAGGGACTGTTGGAGAGACATCATTGGTTTTGAAATCTGAAAAGGACATGAGATTTGGGAAAGGCCGGGGGAAGAATGATATGGTTTGGCTCCATGTCCCCACCCAAATCTCATCTTGAGTTGTAATCCCTGCATGTTGAAGGAGGCGCCTGGTGGGAGGTGATAGGATCATTGGGGTGGTTTCCCCTGTGCTGTGATCTCATGATAGTGAGGGATTTAAAAGTGGCTGTTTCCTCTGCACATACACACTCTGTCTCTCCTATAACCTTGTGAAGAAAGTGTCTGCTTCCCCTCTGCCTTCCATTATGATTATAAGTTTCCTGAGGCCTCCCCAGCCATGGGTAACCATGGGTCAGTTAAACCTCTTGCTTATAAATTGCCCAGTATCAGGTAGTATCTTTACAGCAATGTGAAACTGAACTAATACATCTGGGAAATTCTTTTTCTCTCCTTCCTTTCTGAAGGACAGCTTTGCCTGATATTATATTCTTGGTTGCCAGGTTTTGTACTTTCAGTACTTTGAAAATATCATCCCACTCTCTCAGCCTACATGATTTCTGCTGAGAAATCCACTGATAATCTTATGAAGCTTCCCTTGTATGTGAAGAATTGCTTTTCTCTTGCTTCTTTGAAAATTCTCTTTGTCATGGTGAGGATCTCTTTATATTTAATCTATTGGAGTTCTTTTGGGCTTCATAAATCTGGATGTTTATTTCATTTATGTCTCCAAATTTTGAGAATTTTCTGTTCTTATATTTAAAAATAAGTTTCTGCAACTTTCTCTTTCTCTGCTTCTTCTGGAACTCTTGCATGCATATTAGTTTTCTTAACAGTGTCCTATAATTTTTGTCAATTTTCTGCAATCTTTATCATTCCTTTTATTACTCTGACTGGGTAATTTCAAATGACCTGTATCTGAGTGTGCTGATTCTTTCTCCTGCTTGATCAAGTCTGCTGCTGAAGCTGTTTGTGAATTTTTTCAATTCAGTCATTGTGTTCTTCAGTTCCAGAATTTCTGTTTGGTTCTTTTTTATGGTTCCTATCTATCTTTTTGTTGAACTTCTAAATTTGCTCATGTATTGTTTTCCTGATTTTGTTTACTGTCTATCTATATTGTTTTGTAGCTCACTGAGCTTTCTTAAGATAATTATTTTTAACTCTTTGTCATGCAGTATAGATCTCCATTTCTTTAGGGTCGCCTCCTGCTGCTTTATTTTCTTCCTTTGGTGGTTTCTTGTTTCCCTGATTATTTGTGATCAGTGTGGCCTTGCATTGAAGTAGGTACCTATTTCAGTCTTTACATACTAGCTTCAGTAGAGGAAGCTGTTCACTAGTCAGATTGACCAGAGATTGTGGGTGGGCTGTCTGTTGGGGTCTATGCACAGGATTTCTGTTGGAGTTCTAAGGTGGGCAGGGCTGGATTCTGGGTTCATTCACTGTGGTTGTCTGTATTCTGTGCACAAGGACTGGCTTGAACCATGGATCCTGGAGGGCTGACTGGCACTGAAATGAGCCTTAAGCCTGAGTCTGCAGGGACCAGCCTAACATGGGGATCACCTGGCACCTGAGTTCATGGGGACAGACCTGTTCCTGAGTTTATTCAGGCTGTCCTGGGACCAAGGTCCACTGGGGTGAGCCCAGAATCTGGGTCCACATGGCCAAGATCTCTGGAGGCTGACCTGGTGCTAGATCTGCTGGGGATGGCCTGAATTCTAGGCCCATGGGTACTAACTTGGAGCCTTGGGCTGCTGGGGCTAATGTGGAGGCTAGAGTCTTGGGGGCCAGGCTAGAGCTAGAGCAGGCCTGAAGTCTAGGACTTCTGTGGCCACCTTGGAGTCTGGAGCCCCAGGGGCTGACCTGATCTGGGGTGAGCATGGGGCTGAGTACACAGAGACCAGTCTGGCCTGTGGCAGGCCTGAATCCTGGTGCCGGGGTTTACTGGAGTGGGCTTGGTGCTTGGGATCTGTGGTGAAGGTGGGTGCTATCTTAACTGTCCCTCTTCCATGCAAGAGGGTATCTCTCTCCATGCTGTGCTGCCCAGGCTTGAAGGTGGGGTGACACTGGTAATGTGAAATTGTCCTTCCTATGCACTTCAATGTGTCTTTTCTTACTTCTGTGCTGCAACTGGGTGGTATAACCTCTCACCTGATTCCTGAGCTCTAGTGAAGTTATTTTCGTGCATGGATACTTGTTCAAATTGATGTTTCTGCAAGGGATGAGCACTAGAAACTCCTGTTCTGACAAACTCCTATTCCGGTTCTTGCTGACATCACTCCCTGAAATAGTTAATATACTTAACAGCTGAACACGGATAGGATGTTCACGGAATATGTTGACAGGACAAAAAGTTGAAACTGTTGGCAGAAACCCAAAGTCAATATCGAAGCCAAGGAAAACATTGCCTGTGGTGCCACATTAGAACAGCTTGAAGACCGTTCATTTTTAAGTGACAAGAAACTCGCCTCCAAGAAGCAATTGTGTTTTCAGGTAGCAAATTTCTATTATTCTGATTGTTTCCAAAGAAACTATAATTTTTAAAGTATAGTTTTTTACTTTATGAGAAAAATTAGTCATTTATATTCTAATTTCCTGAGTATATAGATAGTAGAGAAGGAACTAATATTCCTTTATGTAGAAATATTTAAATGTAAGATGATTTTAAATCAAAAAGAATACTTGATTGATTTAAAATTTTTAATTGGGCTTTAATATTTTCAGAGGTTTTCTTTACTTAGGGATTTTTGGACTGACATTATTGCCATTATTTATTAATTTTCTTTTTGCTCAAATCAAGAGGTTTCATAACTGTTTAATCTCTCTCTCTACCAATTCCCTTTCCAACATTACTAGCCACAGAGTTTGCCAATCAACAATAAACACAACAGTAGTCTGGAGGTCTCAATTTGTATCTTGGGAAGCACTATAAACTTTCCAACTCCCTAGACACAAATGTAGAGAAAAAAACCCCTTGTTTTCTATACCAGAAACTGTGTGCTTTGTCTTGTAATTCAGACATTTACAAGAAAATCTATATCACCTTAAATTAAGATTTATGTTAAATGCGATCTAAAACCAACAGAGTTATGTATCGTTTTCTTTTTTAGAATGATTTTATTCAAGCAAGCAACTTATTTCATTTCCTTGTTTGCTACAGTTTCCTGTGGTAAGTGAATTATCTATAAAGCATGAAATTCAGGCTAAGACAGGAGTAGCCAAGCAAGTCGCACCACCTCTGGAGAAAGCTATTGAACATACAGCTTCGGGGATGGAGATAGTCCGTGATGATTCAGGACACGTGTCTATTTAATGTTCCAGAACAAGTACGACTTGTGAGATATATTGCTGTACACATACATTGCAGACCACAGGAAGGAGCTCAGAAGTGGGAATGTCTTGGGACTTGTGTTAATAAAAACTTCTGTTCACAGATGACACTCTGCAAAACAAACTCAAAACAAAAAAATTACTCCTCTATTTTTATCAACATTAAAAAATTAAACATTATCTGAAATTTCAAAAGAGTGCTGGGCATTATATAGTGTCTGGGTCCAATCCAAGTATCTGTTAGGTACATGATACATAGTTTTACTCTGGACAGCCAGGGAACCATTTCAAAAATGAAAGTACCTGGTTTAAATTTAACTTAGCAAACCAGGCATTTGGATAGTTCTAGGTGAATAACTTTCAACACCAGATTTCGATCTCATTTCTCTATTAATATCATTAATTTTTGGAGAATAAAAATGATTCTGGGCATTTCATTAATCGCTATAGAGGGAGTTTTCTCTGTGTCCCCACAAGGCATGATTCTGAGTCTATGGAGACTTAAGAGGGCCACTTAACAATGAATATTTAACTTTCCTCTCGTATGGCTACAATAAACATCTACAGGGAAGGTTTACATTCATAAAGAGACTACTTTTCCAGGAAAAAAGGCTTTTATTCCCCCTAAATCACAACTCCCCTGTGTCTGTCCCTCAACCCTGATTGCTTTTCTAAACCGTAATTTACCAACCCATGTGCAAACCCACTGAAAACTGAAAAGGAGCATGAGCCAGAGATACTGTGAACCACGGCCACCTCCAGGTGGTTTCTCATTTTCTGTTTTTTTCTTCTGGCAAAATAAATCATGATTATGGCTAGGAAAATTAAGGATGTAAATAAGCAAAAAACTAGAAACTACGTATTGCAAACATCTTTTGTTTAGTCTTTCAGATATTTTTCTACATATGCCTATTTGCACATTTTACAAAAAAGAGTTATTAACTATGGATACGCTTTGACTTGCATTTTCCACTTACAGCTACCTTTTGGTGCAAATAAATGACATTTTTTGGAGCTTGCTATTCTCTTTTTATGGTATGTTTGTGTGCACATTCTTATGCACTTAGTTATTTCTGTAGAATACATTTTTTGAAATAAAAATACTAGATTCAAAGGTATGAATATTTTAGAAGGTTTTATGGTGTGGCATCATGAAATTATCTTTCAGAAAAGTTACTCCCTAGTTGACTTCTTCTACCAGCTAATAAGAGTCCTCATTTACCCCACTTAGGCCAACTCTAACAGGCTTCTGTTGCTTTGCATCCTGACATATTTATCTTTCTGGAAACAGTATCCTAATTTATTTCTGCAGAGCTACTGCCTCTCAGTTTTGGTCCATGTGGTTCTGGTGACCCTGACTCTTCTGCTGAACCAGGAAGTGCACACATCCTGCTGACTGCAGTGACCCAATCACAGCCAACATCTTGCAATGAAGCGTTTGTTTAGATGTCTAGAAATAGGACTCTTACTTTTTTTTTTTCCAATTTAACTTGAAACATAAGAGAATACAGAGGCCTGAGCTGCTGGTCCTATTTTGCTACTATGTGGAGCTTGAGAGTAATGGTAACACCATGACTGGAGCAATCGGAAGGAGACTATTGTCCACTGATGCTATCCGTTGAGCACAATGTGGGGTTACTCCTTAAGCCAGAGTCACCATGGGCTTTTTGGCTCCTGAACCAATAGATTTCATTTGTATTCAAGCCACTTTGTACTAGGTTTTCCATCATTTGCAATCAAAACCAGTATACAAATATTGGTTATTTAATTTTTCATTTTTACTAATCTCATGGAAAAACTGGCTTCTAGTTGTTTTAACTTGCCTGTATTTGTGATTCTTCCCATTTTCATGTACTTACTAATCACTTCTATTTCTTTTGTAAATTATCTTTTCATATTTGTCCACTAATTCTTTAAAATTAGAGTACTTTTCTTCTCCTTATTGTTTATGTAATTGTTAAACAAGACTGAATAACCTGCCCAAAATCCGTGGACATGGGAGCCCATGTGAAAGCTTTGAAAGCCACCATCATTATGAGATAAACTATATAACAGTACTTTACATATGCTCCAAAATACAGTACAGACACGGCTATCATCGTCATGATCATCATTATCATCATGATCACCAACTTAGGAGGATAAGCAAGAACACCTACTAGAAGTTTCTTTCCATTCAGCAACAAAGTTGGCGTTTTTCTAGTCACTCCCTTCCCTGACTGAGTCACATGGCAGGTCACAGAGGCTCAATGGCAGAAAGGGAAGCTCTGGGGCAGCACCAGCCATTGTGTGCATCCTTGCGTGTGAACCTAGGTGCTGGAAGAAGAGTGACTGCTTGATAATTATGAGTCAGTCAAAACCACCAACTGTCTGACAAAACAGACCTCTTTGTAACCAGTATTGTCACTAAACCAATGCCTCCATGCTTTGTGCATACATGAAATCTAGGCAATACACTTGTATTCCCCAAAGCTTTCATTTGAAGAGATCTGTGCTCTTCCCAAATATAAACCTTGCCCAAGAGGTGGTCATCTGGCCGCACCTCTGAGAGGGATAGAAGTCTTGCTGTGTTGGGTGGTCATACTGGGGCTCAGGGCCAGAATTCCCAGGGGGTAAGATTGTGCAGAGAAGATGGCACTCTCCAGTGCTTAATAAAATGCACGTGGTCTAAGCTGCCCATTCCCTCAAAGGCAATAAAAAATAGGTACTATTTAAATTGAAGAGTAACTACTGCCCCAGCGAATGGACAGGTTGTCATCAGAATAACCATGGTTAATGCCCCAGCGAATGGACAGGTTGTCATCGGAATAGCCATGGTTAATGCCCCAGCGAATGGACAGGTTATCATCGGAGTAGCCATGGTTAATGGTCAGTTGACTGACTGAAATGAATATGCTGGCTGACCAGGAAAGCTCATTAAGCAGACTTGGAAGAGAGTCTTTCCAGGTAAATCCAAATTTACAAATTAAAGCAGTAATGACACCTAATTCTCTAATAATAGGCAGGGTGCAGTGTATTTTAGAGCTGGGAATAATTCCAAACAGCAAATAGTTCAAAATTTACTTTCAATTTAGCATATGCATGCATTTGCTTAAACTATCTTACAAATGAGTAAAAAATATTGTCAGTTTGCTTGAATCATACTGAGATGCGGAACAATATTTAGCACTGCATGCTAGAAAAGGACACAGGATTGGGAGTCAGGGCTGGGTGACTGTCGCAGGATTTTCATTAAGTGTGTGGATCTTGGGCAAGTCTGTATGCCCTGAGATTCAGTTATTTAACTTTCTTTCAAAAAACCTAATCCAGATGCAGATAACAAAACCTACTTCTAACTTCCCTTACAGAATTGTGAGAAGCTGGTGGAGATGTTTGTAACAAAAGTGTTTTGAAAATAGAGCAAATATTATTCTTTTTAAGGCATGATATTTTCATAGCATGTCAGGCAACAGGGAAAAACTAAGTTAGGATTTTATTTTATTGTGGGTAATTTATGTGCAAATTTTTGTGCAATTTAATGAAAATAAGCCAAAGTTTTAATGCAGAAGTGCCCAGAAAATTAAATAACACTCTACATTGTTCAAATGGTTGCCTTAGTATATTTTATTTTCTCAGCATAATTAGAATTATATTATACAGGTCTTGGAGTAGTCAGTCAGTGGGAGAAGTTAAGACAACAGATATCTTTTTGTTAAAATTATTATTTGAATTATCTCAAATTAACTTTTATGGTTCTATCACAGGATGTCTGACTCAACTATACGAAAACGCCTTCTTCAGAGGTGGGGATGTAGCTTCCATGTACACCCCGAACGCCCAGCACTGCCAGATGATGTGCACATTCCACCCAAGGTGTTTGCTATTCAGTTTTCTTCCAGCAAGTTCCATCAATGACATGGAGAAAAGGTAAAAGTTGATATTTCATTATTGGAGAAGCCATTTTTCTAAACTGAATCGGTTTTGTGCAAAGAGGTGTAGTATAACTGAGAGTTCTGTCTCAGATGGGGTTCAAGGACCAGCTTCAGCAAAATCCCTTCAAGTGGTTCTTACAAATACAGATTCCTCAGCAACAACCCAGATTTGCTGAACCAAAGTTTCTTGGGACTAGAAATCTGCATTTTAAACAATCACTGTGTTTATTTAAAGTAGTAGAAGTTAGTCATTTTCTATTCAAAGCCTCAAAATGCTTGAACATCGCTGGGCTAAGAGATTGTCTCCAGAAAGCATCTAACAGGCGAACATTTCATCTGAATAAAGAAACAGACTTAACTGTGTGACCCGTGATCACATTCGTGGCTAGCACAGTCCGAAGGAAATAACGTAAGACAAGCATTTTGCAGAGAATATAATTGAGAAAGATCTAGAACTTGTGATTTTGGGACAGGGCAGATCTGAATGACGCCTAAAGTGAGCCAGTTTGGGCACCTATGGCGTGATGCTATGTATGGTATGTGTGTGTTCATGTGTGCTTGTGCTTGTGTGAATATGTATTATTAACTGGAGATTTGTAAAAGTATTGGAAAAATACTACTTACGTTTTTTTTTGTTTTTGTTTTTGTTTTTTGAGATGGAGTCTTGCTTTGTAACCCAGGCTGGAGTGCAGTGGCACGATCTTGGCTCACTGCAACTTCCGCCTCCCAGGTTCAAGCGATTCTCCTGCCTTAGCCTCCCAAGTAGCTGCGACTACAGGCACGCACCACTACATCTGGCTAATTTTTGTATTTTTAGTAGAGACGGGGTTTCACCATATTGGCCAGGCTGGCCTTGAACTCCTGACCTCGTGATCTACCTGCCTCTGCCTCCTAAAGTGCTGGGATTACAGATGTGAGCCACCGCACCCGGCTGTAATTACAATTTTTATTACATCAGAGAGATGCTTATTAATCACAAGCTACAGTTTCATCTTAATGTTTTTTCATTTTGAATAAGAATAGGCTTTTCTTTGTTCTTCCCATTTCCATATTCATAACTGTTTTCTCATCTTCACTTCACGTGAGTTTGTGAACTAGAAATTGGATAGTCATTCTCTGATCCTACATGTTAAACTTGTAGAGAAAACCCAGATTGTATGTGAGGATCATCATCTTAAAAGTGGAGGTAGGTTCTAGAATTCTCATAAATAATGAAATTAACATGAAGGCTGACATTTGAGACAGAGGGAAGTCTTTCATTAAGTGCAGACTACAAGGAGTTAATAAGCAAGATGAACACACAATATACAGATCCAGCTCTTATCACTAAGTTAATTTTTTAAGTAAATGAAAGTATTTGCAAAAATAATTACCAATTAAGGACATAGTTGCCTGAAAGTTTAAGAACACAGGAAAAATCATTAACTCTTCAATATGGTTGACTTCCTGTACTTAAAAAATGTGAGTGTAAAGAAAACGCAATGCTGAAGTTAAATATTATGGGGATGTTATAAAATTACCTCTAAGAGTGTTCTTTCCAGCAAGTTTTGGGGAAGCTACATTATTTCCCTTATTCCTGGTTTTATTTGTTAGTGTATAGAAAATGCTAGACATTTCCTCAATGTATGTTTGTTGTTCTACTTCCTAAAAAAGCTACTTTTAAAACAGGTTTGGCTGCTTCTTGAAAGATAGTGTTACAGGAACCTTGCCAAAAGTACATCGAGCAGGTGCAATTTCTGGACATTCCTTAAAGCAATGTGGTCATCAAATAAGTGGTAAGCTGCGAATTTCTTAGCTACATTTGAGTTAATATTGAATCTACCTTAGAACAGCTTTTGCTAAAAGTTTGTACTGCTACAGCCTTTTGGAAGGAATCACTCATAAACATAGAAGATGGGGCAGTATTCCGGACACAAAAGAGGGACCCATATTCATCTGGACACTTCTGTTGTCCTTATCAATCGACACGTATTTAATGAGCCTCTATTATTTATGAGGTTAGCACTCAAGTGTAAGATTTGCAGAAAATCAATCCAAATAATCGTGTCTCCTTGTTTGCAGATAAAAATTTTTAAGAAAACATGAGGGAACATCTCTCTCAGGTTCACGTGAGGGTAATTTTTATATCAGTGATTCTCAACCGGCAATGATTTTTGTCTCTTCCGTTAGGGGACATTTGACAATGTCTGAAGACACTTTTGGTTGCTATGACTAGGGAGGGCGCTATTAGCATTTACTAAGAAGAGGCCAGAATGTTTGAATGCTGCTGCCCAACCTTCTACAAGGCACAGAGCAGTCCTCCACAGCAAATAATCTTCTGGCCCAAAATGTCAACAGTGCTGACATCAAGAAACTCTGATATACCATTAGGCCCAAACTGAAGAACTGAGTTCTGCAAATCTTGCCAAAAATAATACTTCTTAAAGGAAACTTGAGGACTAGGATGCTAGAGAACTTTGATTTTACGTCTGAAGCTACTGATGTCTTGGGAAATAATTTCCAACGCTATCCTAATAAATTTAAGACAAATGAACTATTTCTCAAACATGACTGGGACTGATCAGAAAGCGAAAAGTGCTGAAAAGATTCAACTGATGGGTTGTTGGAATCTTAAAATAGCTGAGCTGTGATTCTATGTGTGACTATACATCATTATGATTTTATCTGTATTATGCACGATTAATTTTGTAGGTTCAAATTTCAGATGTTTTTAAATTTGTCATCCTTTCCTCCCTCATTGATATCACCCCTTCAATACATACACACTTTGAGCCTGCTGTTTGCATGTTAACCAGTTATCAAAGGATGGCTAAGCCTTCGTTATCAATATGGGCCTGACTTAGCCAGTGTAATAGGTGTAGTCTACCTGAGGTGGGGTACATTTCCTATTTTATAAGATCAATGTGTATGTTAATCTAATTTGATATAAAGTATTCAAGGAAGTGCTGTTTCCAATTGTTGTATCTTATAGCAAAATTTAAAGAAAAAGTAATATTGTGCCTTTCCCAATATTCCTGTAATTGTTAATGTATTCTAAAACTCAGTGTTACTCACTTACTTAGCTTGCTTTTAATGTTTTTTTCTAACTTCATCATCTTAAAGTGAAAAATTGTTCCCAAGTACATTAAATCTCTACTTTCAGGAACAATTCTAGTCAAAAGCATTTAGAGCTTTCATATGAACACTTAAAAAGTTGTTATTTGTAAGAGTCCCATCCCAACTCTTAGCCTATTCTTTTCTCACATGCAGAAAAATTGGAAAGAGATTTCATTTCTACTGTCTGCAAATTCCTGTATTTAAGAACCACTGTGAATAATCCACCTCCCTACCCAATTCAACATGCAGTTTTCCTGACAGTTTGTGTATTTTCTGTCTTTCCCACCCTTAAATTTAGTTTTATGACTTCAACCATACTTCTTAGGAGTGGAAAGTTACCTGTAATAGATTATGGTTTATTCCACATAATCTTGGGGAATAAAACTTTAAAAAAGTTTATGGTTTATACTTCTGGTTTACATTACTTCCTTAACCAAAAGTCTAACTAAGAAATTTGAATATTTAAAAAAAAAGCCTAATTTTGCTTCATTGTCTGTGAAAAGAATTATCTATATCTTTTGCATGTAAGACAAATCTCAGTGAAAAGGGTGCTTAAATAGAAGTTAACACTATTTTAAAGCAAGAATGGAAGTGGTTTCATCATGCATAAACAACAACTCTCCACATTTTGTAACGATTGATCCAGATGCAATTTGCAGTCAGACAGAAGTTGAAAGCAGAGAAAGAACACTGGGAGATAGAGAAGCTCCTTCATTCAATGCAAAAGGTCAAAGGCACATCAGTTTCTTTAATGATGCAAACCTCAGCACACATGATCAGTGTCCTCATTATTATTGCCTTGTTTATTTCCCACTGCTCACTGTTAATTTCAACATGAAATTTACCTGTATTGCTGCATGCATCTTGCAGTTTAAGAAGCGAAGTAACCCAATTTCCAAGCTAGTGCTTTCAGGAAAATATTGGATTGTATTTACTTCGAGCAGAGTTTGATAATTTATGGACATACTAAAAATTTTAAATCCCTTAATTAATATAGCAATTGCCAAAACTGGGCTGTTATCCTTCTAAACTACCAGCCCAAATGGTAGTGGGATCCTTCTAAACTACCGGCCCAAATGGTAGTGGGATCCTTCTAAAATACCGGCCCAAATGGTAGTGGGATCCTTCTAAAATACCGGCCCAAATGGTAGTGGGATCCTTCTAAAATACCAGCCCAAATGGTAGTGGGATCCTTCTAAACTACCAGCCCAAATGGTAGTGGGTATCTAATCTACCTCTAGAAAGAAAATGGACTGTATTTGCTCTATGTATTTTTTTTGTACAGCTTGCCACCGAGACATTTATAAAGGAATTGATATGAGAGGAGTCAATTTTAATGTATCTAAGGTTAGCAGCGTTGAAGAATGCCAAAAAAGGTGCACCAATAACATTCGCTGCCAATTTTTTTCATATGCCACACAAACATTTCACAATGCAGAGTACCGGTGAGTACAATTCATGGTGTTTGTTCTTTATATTAGTGCCCCCAGGATTTCACTGTATTCTTCACAACCTCTTTTGTTCCCAAACTAAAAACCAAACAGGGCTTTTACTCCTAACCACTTTCCTTATTTACTTATTCTATTTTATATTTTATCTTCTTTTTTTTTTTTTTGAGACGGAGTCTCGCTTGTTGCCCAGGCTGGAGTGCGGTGGCATAATCTCGGCTCACTGCAACCTGTGCTTCCTGGCTTCAAGAAATCCTCCTTCCTCAGCCTCCCACATAGCTAGGACTACAGGAGCCCACCACCACACCTAGCTAATTTTTGTGTTTTTAGTAGAGACGGGGTTTTACCATGTTGCTCAGGCTGGTCTGGAACTCCTGATCTCGTGATCCACCCACCTGGGCCTCCCAAAGCGCTGGGATTACAGGCATGAGCCGCTGCTCCCGGCCCTTCATTTTAAAATTAAGTAATTCATTTAATTTCATTTGTTTCTCTACTCTTTTCCTCTGGCAGGTAATTGTACCCCATCTTCAAAGCCTCGCATCCTCTTCCACCACTTCTCCAAAGGCTGATTCTTTCAGGTCTTTCCTCAGATACCGTCCCCTCCAAAGGGCCATTTCTGAGCATTCTCTTTTAAGCCACATTCAGCTCTATTTATTTCATTCGTAGAGCTAATCACAATTTGATTTTAACTTGTGAATTTATTTCCTTATTTTTAAATCTCATTTTTGTTTGCATAGATGTATGGGGTACAAGTGTAATTTTGTTACCTTGGTGTATTGTACAGTGGTAAAGTCTGGGCTTTTGGTATATCCATCACTGGAGTCACGTACATTGTACCCACTAAGCAATTTTTCATCACCTGCCCCTTTCCCACCTCTCTATCACCTTCCCAGTCTCTACTGTCGATCACTCCATGCTCTTCTCAATTGTGGTGTCATTTTTCCTGAAGCGAAATTTTGGTGTCATTGTTTCTGAAGTCATTTTCTGAAGTCTGTGTCATTTTTTGCTTTCCTGAAGTGAATTTTGGTGTCATTTTTCCTGAAGTTCCATTTGCCCCACGCATAGGCCTTACTTATAGAATGAGGGTTTAGTGTCATGGTGTCTCCTGCCTCATTCTCACCCCAACTTTCCCTTGACCCCTTTGTGAGGAGAAGGATGTCCATTTGATTAATAATGCAAACCCCTAACCCACTCATTATCAGCATCATTGTTTTTTCCACTGTCCGTTTGAATACTAAATGTTACCTGGACTGCTACCTCCGCCTCAAAGTGCAGGAAGCAAAGTAACCTCTTTTCTTCCCATTCAGGAACACTTGCCTATTAAAGCACAGTCCCGGAGGAACACCTACCACTATAAAGGTGCTGAATAATGTGGAATCTGGATTCTCACTGAAGCCCTGTGCCCTTTCAGAAATTGGTAATTGTAGGACCACTTCACCTTGTGATTGTAGTAGGCGGAATAGGAGCCCCCAGAGATGTCCCTGTGCGGAGTCCCGGTACCTGTGCGTGTGTTCCCATAGCTGGCAAAAGCGTTTCTATCAATGGGATTCAGTTAAGGACTTTGAGATGGGGAGTTTACTCTGGATTTTCTTGATGGGCCCAATGTACTCACAGGATTGGGTGCTCACAAGGCTAATAAGAAAAAGGGAGAGGCAGAAGGGTCAGAGGCAGAGAGAGGTTTGAAGGTGTTACACTGCTGGCTTTGAAGATGAAGGTCCGTGAGCCAAGGAATGCAGGCGGCCTCTAGAAGTTGAAAAGGGCGAGGAAACAGTTTCCCTGTGGAGCATCCTGGAGGAACAAGCCCTGCTGATGTCTTGATTTTAGCCCAGTAAGACCCAATCTCTCGAATGGTAAGATAATAAATTTTTGTTGTTTTTAACCACTGAGTTTGTGGTTATGCCCCTATAGCAGCAGTTATAGAAAACTAGTACAGTGATGTTGTTATAGGAACAATGATACTGTAGCAAAACTGTAAGGTCCTTCCTTGGTTGTGTCCCTATCTAGGGAAATGACTCTACCTGGGGAGGGAAATAACATTCTGTCATGTCACACATAAAGGTAATTTCAATGGAATTGTCCAGAAAATTGCCATGACATTCCACCTCATTTAGCATATCAGGATGTTAATGACAAGATGTTACTGAAACCAAATCCCTTACTGCCAGTTTTCCGCAGTACTGGGTGCTGGCTGTGTGCCTGGCCCTGTATTGGGTGCTAGGCTAGGATTTCCCTGTGGAAGATTGGGAAGGTTGGTTACAAGGTGTCTATTTTCCTGTCTCCTCTTTGTGACAGCACACCTTCTCCACGGTGCGTGCCAGGTTCACGTGTACTGGTGATGTAATTTTAACGTTCATATTATTTTTTTCTGGGAGAGTTTTTGAAGGCTGCCAGGAGGCAGGACTCGATGCAAGCATGCTCCATTCTGTACCCAGCACTGTTGCTGGAAGGATTTGCTGCACTTACGCAGGGAACAGGCAAGCTCATGCCGTGGTTCTGGGCTGTCACAGCTGCTGTCCACACCTGGGAGAGCACCCTGGATGGCTCATCCCTGTACTTGCTTTCTTGTTAAATTGCAATGAGTTCACATGTGATTTAATCTGATCAAACGGCCTTTACAGACTGGTAAAAATCTGGCTGTTTCAGGCAGTGTTTTGAGCTGCTAAGGGCATGGCTTTTCACTGAGTACGTGTTCCCCGTTCCTCAGGGAACACCCAGTAGCTACGTGCCTCTTCAACCTGGAGTAGGGCTGTCTCCTGGCCTCACTGCCCAGATGAGATTCATAAGTTAGGGATCATCTGTAGTCATCACTACAGATTTGTCCTTAGTTTCACCACGGATTTTTCTAATTTTACAAACAAAACCCCTAAGGCTCCTAGAAGGAGGGCAGAAGTGAAGGTGCTCGGGGGTCACATAGCTGATGAGCTGAACCAGAACCTGACCCTTGGGTCACACAGATTTCACATTGCTCACTCCCCCTTTTGATTTTTTAATGGATTTAATGGTGTTTTAAAGTCTCCTGCCTCTCAACTCATATGAATTCATCATATTTACATATTTCCTTCTCTTGCGGTCCATCTTCCTGCATAGATCTTGAGAGATGTCACGATAATCACATCTCCCCAGTTAATTTAACAAAACTGTTTGCAATTCTGATATGGGAAATCTACCATATGACTTAGTAATTTATCAATTGAGGTGGTAAACGTATTTTTCAAGCCAAAAGTAGGAGAACATAAACTGGAAAAAAAAGGTTTTTTTTTTTAAATTTTTATCACCTCTGGGGAAGAAAATCTGATAAATGAACCTGGTTGATGAAATTGCAATTAGTGGGAGCAACATCATGGTTTCTGTTCTGAGACTAACCAGATGGCATCTTGAAATAGAGAATGTCCTAGAAATCAACTGGTTGCTTGGCCAAAATATCTATAAATAGTACCCGACATGTTAGATAGGAAAAGCAAAGTAAAAGCGATTTTAATAGGTTAGGACATTGGGCTGAAGTATTGCATATATTTAGTGTCACGTGCATCTGTGTGAAGAGACCACCAAACAGGCTTTGTGTGAGCAATAAAGCTTTTTAATCACCTGGGTGCAGGAAGGCTGAGTCCAAAAAGAGAGTCAGGGAAGGGAGATAGGGGTGGGGCCATTTTACAGGATTTGGGTAGGTAATGGAAAATTACAGTCAAAGGGGTTGTTCTCTGGTGGGCAGGGGTGGAGGTCACAAGGTGCTCAGTGGGAGAGCTTCTGAGCCAGGAGAAGGAATTTCACAAGGTAATGTCATCAGTTAAGGCAGGAACTGACTATTTTCACTTCTTTTGTCATTCTTCAGTTACTTCAGGCCATCTGGATATATGTGTTCAGGCTTAGGCCCAGAGGCCTGACATTCCTGTCTTCTCATATTAATAAGAAAAATAAAATGAAATAGGAGTAAAGTGTTGGGGTGGCAAAAATTTTGGGGGTGGTATGGAGAGATAACGGGCGATGTTTCTCAGGGCTGCTTCGAGCAGGATTAGGGGTGGCGTGGGAACCTAGAGTGGGAGAGATTAAGCTGAAGAAAGATTTTGTGGTAAAGGTTGATATTGTGGGGTTGTTAGTGGGAGCATTTGTCGTATAGAATGATTGGTGATAGCCTGGATATGGTTTTGTATGAATTGAGAAACTAAACAGAAGACATAAGGTCTGAATAAGAGAAGGAGAAAAACAGGTATTAAAGGACTAAGAATTGGGAGGACCCAGGACATCTAATTAGAGAGTGCCTAAGGGGGTTCAACATAATTAGTTGCTTGGTTGCTGAGTTTTTGGGCTCTATCCTTGACAGAGTCCTCCTTCTTAAGTTGGAGGCTGAGCTTGGTGAGGTGTGTTTTTAAAGGACCATTAGTCCTTTCTACCTTCCCTGAAGATTGAGGAGAGTAAGGGGTATGAAGGTTTTGCTGACTACTAAGAGCCTGAGAAACTGCTTGGGTGATTTGACTAATAAAGGCCGGTCCATTATCAGATTGTATAGAGGTGGGAAGTCCAAACCAAGGAATTATGTCTTACAGAAGGGAAGAAATGACCACGGTGGCCTTCTCAGACCCTGTGGGAAAGGCCTCTACCCATCCAGTGAAAGTGTTGCCCAGACCAAGAGGTATTTTAGTTTCCTGACTCGGGGCATGTGAGTAAAGTCAATTTACCAGTCCTCTGCCGGGACAAATCCCCAAGCTTGATGTGTAGGGAAGGAAGGGGGCCTGAACAATCCCTGAGGAGTAGTAGAATAGCAGATGGAATACTGAGAAGTGATTTCCTTGGGGATAGATTTCCACAATGGAAAGGAAAAGAGGGGTTTTAAGAGGCAGGCTAGTGGCTTGTAACTTACATGGAAGAGGTTACGAAATGATGACAGAATAGAATGGGCCTGTGAGGCTGGAAGGAGATATTTTCCTTGGTCCAAGAACTATTTGCCTTGTGTGGGAAGACATTGATAGGTGGAAGTTTCAATGTGGGAGTAGATGGGAGTGACCGAATAGAGGGAGGAAAAACTAGCCTTGAGGGACAGAAGTTGGAATGCTAGCTGCTTTTATAACTACCTTATCAGCATGGGTGTTGCCTTGAGCAATGGGATCTGATGCCTTTTGATGGCCCTTGCAGTGAATGACTCCAGCTTCCTTTGGATGTAAAGTGGCCTTGAGAAGAGTTTTTATTAAAGAGGCATTAATGATGGAGGACACTTGCAGAGTGAGGAAACCTCTTTCAGCCCATATAACAGCATAGTGGTGCAGGATATGGAAGGCATATTTAGAGTCAATGTAAATATTGATGCATAGTCCCTTTGCAAGAGTGAGGACCTGAGTTAAGGCAATGAGTTTGGCTTGCTGAGAGGTAAGTTAAGGCAATGAGTTTGGCTTGCTGAGAGGTAGTGGAGGGGTGCAGAGTGGTAGCCTCAATGATAGATGTAGAAGATATTATAGCATACCCTGCCTTTGCTGGTGGGTGGAGATTAGGCCTGGTGGAACTGCCATCAATAAACCAAGTGTGATTAGGGTAAGGAATAGGAAAGACAGAAGTATGGGGAAATGGAGTGGATGTCAGGTGGATCAGAGAGATACAGTCATGGGGATGGGGGCCAGCCTAAAACAGTAAGGTCAAGTTGTTTCGACAGAAAGCTTACAGGGCAAGGTCCTGGCTCTTGTGTAAGAATTTTGACTGCACAGCCCTGTACTTTGGCTGTGTGTAATGAAAAGGGTTGGGATGAGTTAGGGAGAGCTAGTGCGGGAGCAGCTTCTAGGGCTGTTTTTAAGGAATGGCAAGAGGAGTGGCTAAAGGATTTAGGATCTATGGGGTCAGCTAGGTTTGCTTTTGTGAGTTTATATAATGGTTTAGTTAGGATGGTAAAACTAGGTATCCAAAGGCGGAAGTACTTAATGCCTAGGAAGAAAAGAAGTTGTTGTTTTGTAAAAGGGGTTGGGACTTGGGAGATTAGCCAGACATGACCAGCAGGGAGAGCACGTGTGTTCTCATGAAGAATTATGTCCAGATAGGTAATGGATGAGGAAGAAATTTGGGCTTGACTGAAGTAATGGGGGCTGTCTGTGAAGCCGTGCAGCAGCACAGCCCAGGTAATTTGCTGAGCCTCATGGGTGTCAAGGTCAGTCCAAGTGAAAGCAAAGAGAGGCTGGGATGAAGGGTGCAAAGGAATAGTAAAGAAAGCATGTTTGAGATCCAGAACAGAATAATGGGTTATGGAGGGGTTGTGGAGGGAGGTATTGAGGATAGGAGAGTATATATCCACTGGGTGGATAGGCAAGACAGTTTGGTTGATAAGGCACAGATCCTGAACTAACCTGTAAGGCTTGTCTGGTTTTTGGACAGGTAAAATGGGGGAATTGTAAAGAGAGTTTATAGGCTTTAAAAGGCCCTGCTGTAACAGGCGAGTGATAA